GACAGATGCTTGTAGAAGAAAGGGGGAATAATCCATTAAATACATAATTTAGTAGTGGAAACTGTCATTTCACAACGAATGTCATGTCTTCAGTCGAGACATTTTGTCGTCTCTGAGCTTAAACTGAATGGAAGAAAATTTGCTAACAGTGGAAATATCAGGTACAACTATCAAGAAAAGTGGAATGATGGCAACTGTTATTTCATTCTGGTTATTTCTATTAAAGCTAACCCTAAACAAAACAAACAAAAAAAAAACTTTCAAATTGTCCGCTCTTGTGTTCAAAGAAAACTCCAGAGTTTTTCCTGTGATGCACGTCTGGATAAATAAAGAGTTTTAACTTCATCTCCAAAGTCACTGGAATTACAGAATCTTGAAACTTACAGATTGTAACAAATAAAGTGAGAAAACAGTTTCTTTGTTAGTTTCTTGCATAATTTCTGCCAAATAATACACTGCAAAAACACAAAATCTTACCAAGTAATTTTTGTCCAGTTTTTAGATCTTGGTACGCTCGAAAAAAGACAAAACTAACTTACAAGTATCTTCTCAGTAATAAACACGAGCTTGTTTTATGTGAATAATTTCTTAATATTGATGAAAAATTTCTGGCTCCACTGGAAGATTATTTCACTAATAACAAGACATTTTTCTGATGTTATAAGTTAATTTATCTGACAATCGAACTAGAAACTTTTCATTAAGACGTTTTTCACTTAAAACAAGCCTCTACATCTTCCTTGAACTTGTTTGTCATTATTAAAGTATTATTGACTTAAACAAGCTAAAATTCGTCACATTTCAAGCGTCCTGGGATATTTGCACTAAAAACTCTTTTTTAGATGTAAAGAATGCTATTCAAAAGAGCCCTGCGTAATAATTTCATCATATTTGTTATGTTACTAAATGCTATATTAAATACAAATATTGCAGAAAATGCAATAGAGAAAAATAAAAATAGTTTTTTCTTTTTATGGATTTGTCAGTCAAATATTGGTCCCAGTATTATGATTAACGTTTCAACCATCAAATTAATCTGTGATTAATTGATGTTAATCTTTAGTAAACATCAAAACAACATATTTTTCACTTGTAACACATAAAAATATCTTGTTATAAGAATAATCTGACAGTAGAACAAAAACTTTATCAAATTTAAGGAATCATTTAAAACAAACTGTTATATTTTGCGACCTAGTGATTTTTAAGATATTTTCAACAAAGTCTAGATAAAATTACTTGGTAACGTTTTTTGCAATTTGACATTAAAAAAGTGAAAGTCTGTTTTACCCAACTTTGGTGTAATCTCAGATTAGATAGTCAACCATCTAGCCCACATGCCATAATCATCACCATCCAGCTTTTGCAACGTTGCAAACCAGTTTCACAATATAATGAACACATATGGATCTATATATATATATAGAGGAGCAATAACAACTCTTAACCACCACTGTGACACTGCAGCATTTTCACACAAGTAACATTTGACCTGAAATTATCTGAGAATGTTTCAGGAAATTTAACATTTCACCAAATTAAGTGTACAAAGTTATGTAAGCAAATAATTTAAACATGTGATTACTGTTATTTTAATAGTTTTACCTATGTTTCCATGCATATATTTGTCTTTTCCCTTGCAGGATGAAGTGCAGTGCAGCATTTCTGGTGCTCTCCTTAGTTGTCCTGTTGGCTCAGCCTGGAGAGGGATTTTTTGGTCTCATTGCTCACGCCATTCATGGCATTTCAAGGTAAATATCACATATTTCTGCTGCTCTTATTTCCGAAATTTATTTCTCATCACGTCTCAGCATCATTAGTAGAAAAACATGAGTGATCAGTTACATAACTGCCCTGTTTCTTTGTTTCTTTCCGTTTCTGTGAGCCTAATTCATGGGAAAGAAACAAAACAACAAGCGGACCAGTATCAACTGGACCAGATGGAGATGGACCAGAAGCTGGATCAGCAGCATTTGGACCAGCTGCAAAAAGAGCAGCTGGACAAACGCTCTTTGAAAGACAAGTTTGCTCAGCGTCAATTTAATTAGGCCAAACCTGAGGCTGTTTTCAAATCACTTTATTGATCCCAGAAAACTTTTACTAAAAATATACAGTTTGTCTGTCATTTGGCCAACAAAAGGATAGAAATTGCACCAGAATATCAATTTGTATCTGATGTACAGAAAATAAACGAGTTCAGAAATGTGTTTTTTATTTGTGTAAATTTGTCATAAGCTGTAAGAGCTGCCAGGTCCATTCAAGCACAATGACATTTGGTAAAACGTCTTTACCATGAGCGATGGTTGAGACGTCGAGTCCAAATCGCCTCATTTTGAACGAGAACAAACAGTGGATTTAGAAAGAAAAAGGGTTATTTCAAAATGTTATTTCCATCTTGGGAGAAGACGTGAAGGTGGTTGAGGAATAAAAGTACTTTAAATTTAATCTGGAGATCAGAGTGGAGACTCAACAGAGAGCGACAGAGCAGAAAAAATACCAAATATCTCAGTGCAATTAAATAAGATAAAACTAACTTACAAGAAACTTTTCAGCAAAAATAGAAGCTTGTTTTGAGTCAATAATTTTCAATATTGATATAAAGAAGTCATAATTCTTCCCATATTATTAGTGAAATGAAATAGTACTTTTTAAAAATTAATATTAAGAAATCACTGACTTAAAACAGGCTCCTATATCTGTCTGAAAAGTCACTAGTAATTTAGTAAACTTGAAGATATGAAAATAATTTAAGATTTTGTGTTTTTGCAGTGCACAGGAGATCCAACAGCTCTTAATTCAAACCGACTTGGCTTAGGTAGTTATTTCATGAGATGCAAAATCTGTCCTTCCTTTGTTAAAATAAGTCTGACTGACATTCGCAGTCTCTGTGGCTCCAGAGTCAGACAGCAAGACAGGAGACCTGAACTGGAGATTAACAAACACGCTCATTTTCAATCTTAGTTACTGAGTTAATCTACGCACACCGTCAAAACCCGTGAAATTTAAAGCTGAGTCGCTTCACGAGAGGAACTTGAGGTCACACCGAAAGTCCCGCTGAGTCTGCACCGTCTGCAAAATTCATTTTAGATATTTTGAATTTACAAGTACAAAACTGAAGTAGATTAAAGGGATGGTCAAAACAAAACCCTGAGAAAATGTGTGAACATTATGTTTTATATGAAAAACTTTAATCTCAGAATCCTGACTTTAATCCTGAGAATGTTTACTTTAATCTCGTAATTCTGACTCTAATATCAAAATTTTGATTTTTCTTAGAATTCTGAATTTAATTGGAAAATTTTGAATTAACATAAAAATTTTGAGTTTTCTCACAGAAGTCTGGTGTTTCTCAGAAATCAGACGTTAATGTTCTGAGATCAAAAGTCAAAATTTTGAGAAAAAAGTCTGAATTAATATTATCTTTTCAGTGACCCTATTCATCTTCAATGGACTTGAAATTTAATGTTTTTTTTCTGACTTCTTTTCAAGAAATTTGTAAAAAAAAAGAAAAAAAAAAGATAATTACAAAAAATAAATAAATAAAAAAAGCTAATGGTAAATCTAGGTTGCAACTGTTTATTATTTAGATCAGGGGTGCTCAAACTCTTTGAGACCAAGATCTACTTTTTCTCTCACCAGCCGGCTGAGATCTACCTCATGACACGAAGACATACAAATTATAAATGAAACCCTATTGACTAATTTTCTATGCAAATATACATCTGTTGTGTCAGAAACGATAAAGTGATAGAAAACCTAATGCAGTTTCTTCCTCAGTGAGATTCTGACACTGGGAGCAGGTTACTGGTTTCTCAGTCAGAAGCTGGTTGCAAACCTGAGGCCAGCAGGTGTCAGTCAGTTATGGTGGATCTGAAATTTGGTTTGATGACGTCACTATGAGAAACTGCAGACTGATAGGAGGAACCAAAGAGCTCTGCAGAGGTAAAGGCAAATCTTCTGAATTTGGGATATAATTAATGTAATTTGACACAATTATGGTGGTAGAAGCCATTTGTTTGTTAAAACTTAATCAAATATAATTGTCCTATTTGATGTTGGTTGTGACGTTTACTGCAAACGAACGAGGTCATCAGTCCAAGTCTGTCGTTTTATTGAAACGTTCAGAAACTCCAGTGGCTGTGATGAACCACAGCGAAGGAAAACAAAGTAAAATAACCCGAACAGGTGATCAACTCAGAACCACTCGCACCGTTTCACTCTCTCTCTCTCTTTACCATTAAGCTCACCCGTTTCCGTGGCAACCGCCGGCGCCCCGCAAGCCGAGCAAAGATTATGTTAAAAACGTTCAGTCTGTTACGATATCAGGTTTCCAGGCTTTATTATTATTTAATGAATCCACAAACGTTTTGGATCTTAGTGAATATTTTGAAAAGTCTGTCAGAAGAGGAAGTGCTGCTCTCAGCGTCCTGGAGGCCTTCAGTTTGTTACCTGCTGCAGAGATCGACTCAAAACCTCCCCGCGATCGACCAATAGATCGCGATCGACCGGTAGATCGCGATCGACGTACCGAGCACCCCTGGTTTAGAGTTTAAGTTTTCGCCGTTTTATCCCACTTCCATAGCCGGTGAGGTGTGATGACTACTTATTTGAGCAGCTAACACACTGGAACCAGAAAAATCAAAACGTTTTACTCGTATTTAACAGCAGGAACTTTTAAGCTTGAACTTCAAGCTTGAATAACAATCAGGCAGTTAAAAGCGGTACAGTTAGGAATGAATAAGGAAAGGACCAAGAATGCATCCCTGGGGTACTCCACAGGTCACTGTAACTGATTTCTATTGCTTACCAATAGCCACTGTAAAATAACGACTAAGAAAGATTAAAATAATCTTCAATTAGATTTTATGAGGCCCAAATACCAGCTCTCATGGTGACCCTTTTTTGCAAAATCATGTGTTTCGCAATATGATAATTTCCTCATTTGTGTGCACATATAGGAGGGTGCAGCTTTCTACCAGGATGCAGATCATCACCTTCTGACGCAGCAAACAGCATCAGATCAGTCAGAGGAAAGGTAGGAACCAAATACTCTCAGCTCCATTCTCAGTCTAATTTTAATAAGTTGTAGTTCGTAGTCAATGAATGTTTTTTAATGTTCTGCAGGATGAAGTGTACGACGCTTTTTCTCGTGTTGTCCATGGTTGTCCTGATGGCTCAGCCAGGAGAGTGCTTCATTGGATGGATCATAAAGGGAATCGGTCATGCAATTAAAGACATTCACAAGTAAAAATACATTTATATAATAAGTCAGAGTGGATAAAAATCATTTAGCATGATTAGTTTATTTAAAGACACATATAAAAACATCTAGGATTTGTTTCATTTAAATAAAATAAAAACATTGAGCATTGGTTCTTTTAAATAAGTCCACTGTTTAGTTGTCAGCTATTTTGTCACATTGAACTTGATTTTTCTCCTACCAGCATGATTCATGGGAATGGAAAAGTTGCAGAAGAACAAGCAGACCAACTGGACCAGGATCAACTAAACCGGCAACAATTGGACCAGAATAAACTGGATCAGGATCAACTGGACCAGGACCAACTAAACCAGCAACAATTGGACCAGGATAAACTGGATCAAGAAGATCTGGACCAGGATCAACTGAATCAAGAAGATCTGGACCAGCAGCAGTTGGACAAACGTTCCTACTGATCCACACTTTGTCACTTTAATTAGACACAAGAGGCCACTCCGAATATGCCAACAATTCTTGCTTTTAAACATTTTTCAAGTATCAACCTGCTTTGTTATGTTGCGTAACTTCTGAATACTCTGCTTTTGTTATGTGACATTTTTTTTGCAAAGTGGAAAATAAACCAAAGAAGCTTTACAGAGTGCAGGCAAAGTACACCGCATCGTATACTGCAGACAGTTTTGTCAAAAGTGAAATGCAAATAAAATAATTTTCTCTCGCTCTTGTTGCACAGTTTCAAAGTTTTATAAAAAGAAACAGGATTACAAGACTAATGTTCAACTGGCAATATCTGAAATTCAGATCAGATTTTGCAGCTAACAAGGTCTTCACTGCAAAAACACAACATTTCACCAAGTATTTTTTTTCATCTAGAATTTAGCATAAATGCATTCATACGTTTAAAATGAGAAAACTAACTTTAAAGTAAATTTTCAGCAATAATATTATTGCTTGTTTTAAGCCAACAAATCCTTAATATTGATGAAAACGTTTAACTGCCACCGTTACCTAGCAACGTCACCCAAGCCAAGCCCCGTTACTTAGCAACGTCACCCAAGACAAACCCCGTTGCCTAGCAACCCAACTGTAGCTCCACTGGCAGATTGTTTCACTAATATGGAAAATAAGTGAAGAAATCCAACAACTGAACTAGAACCTTTTCCACAATGTGAAGGAATTGTTGCCGAGCTTAAAAATAAAAAAGTCTTAAAAATATATATATATTTTAATTTTCCTTTCAAAGTATTGTCATCTCATTTCCACCTGCTCTGTAATCTGGCAAAAAACATTTGAGCAACTTTGAAAAGAGGATGATTTTTGTTTTCTAGTGAAAGCATAGAGTCAGGATGATGCCACAAAACAAGAAACCATGTTTTAATACGAAAACATTCATTTAAAAAGTTATTTTTTTACTATAACGCGCAGCTCGATGTCAAACTTTTATTCTTGTTTTCAGTGTCTGATGGAGTTTGGTTCATGTTGAGCAGTGGAGGGATTTTTATGTTAAATTTGAAAGAAATAAGGTTTCTAGTGTTTTGTTTTTTAGTGTTTTATTCTGGTGCTTGAACTCAAAGAATATCTGATTTCTGTCATTTATTCACCCTTCCTTCAACTTGACTTTGATTTTTTTAAAGGGAGTTAAGGGATCGGTTTTACGAAAAGGCTATTATTTGCTCAGTTACATATTAGTGTTTACTGTTTAATCGACTGAAATTCAAACATTTCCACACCTGAACAAGTGAAGGTGTGGAAGAAGAAACTGTCTTCTTCCACATTTCTTCTTCCACAGAAGAAATGTGGAAGAAGAAATGGTGCAACCATGACTGAGAATGACTGGACCTGAAAGTCTGTTGCAACCAGTTCGCTTTCCGAGAGCAACAGCATGAATACAGAACATCAAACATCATAAATTATGTTTTTTAAAGTTGATTCTTGACTTTTTTGTGCCGACTTTCAAGAGTTTCAGCCGCTAGCAAACGCTAACTTCTGGAAATTTAAGTACATCAGTGCTGCATGATCCTAAATGTACTAATGTTGTATTTTTGTGATAACTCAAAGGTTTAAGAATGAGGAGATGCACATCTATTCATTGCAAAAGATTTATGAGGCTTTTAATGAACAAAAATTTATTTTTGGCCTGGATACACAGCAGTTTTGATTTCTCCACTGAGCGACCACGCTCAGAAATAAATTAAAAATAAACATGGAGTGAAAACTGAAGTGCAACGTGAAGCTTGACGTCATTCACAGCAAATATAAATATGTTTATATTAACTTACCATTAAAGACACAGCGGGACGGATCATCAAAGAAATGATGGACAGGGAGAGTTTGACTAAAACTGCCTGGATGTCAGATAAATTCTGGGGCTGATTATGTGTCTCTGCTCATTTCTAAACCCAAATAAGTAACTTCATGTTTAAAAACAAGCCCAAAAAAGCACAACCTGTGACTCAATAAATTTGCAAGCGGCTTTAGAAAAAAAACAACCCAAAACTGCTTATAATAATTGGACTTGGTGCCGGTTTTTAGGCAGGTTGTGCATTCACACCTTTCTGAACAAACGGGATTAGAGTTCGGTTAAACTAAACTAAACATTATGAATGATGACAGAAAATCACAGAACACCAGTTCACCAGCAGCTCCTGTGCATTAATCAGGCATTGGATAATAATAATCTATGAGTGTGCGGTGGCTCCATCGGGTTGAGTTTGCCCAACTCACTGGAACAACTTGCTCAACTCTAAGCGATAGCATCTGCCACTGGCGGTTTCTCTGAGCCTGCAGCTGTGATGGCCTTCGCTCATCAGAGGTTGTGGTACCAACTGCAACCCAAGCTTACAGCATGAAGGTAAAAGAAAAATTCACCACTTTGTCAGCATTTATGCAACGCAAACCACAGACCCTTCCATGAAAATGATATTTAAAGAGAAAAATTCAGACTGGCTTCAAGTTTTCACCCAGAGCTCGTTGGCAACAGCCGGTGGTCTCTTTTCCAACCTTTGACAAGTAATGAAAGTATTTCTAGTTGCTGAAATGACATTTTTTAATAGCTTGCACTGACATTAGTTTTTGTTTTGCAGGATGAAGTTTGTTACGATCTTTCTTGTGATGTCTCTGGTCGTCCTGATGGCCGAACCCGGAGAGTGTTTCCTGAAATCGCTGTGGAGGGGCATAAAGGCCGTCTTCAAAGGCGCCAGGCAGGGATATAAAGGTCAGCTATGAACCACTGAACAAATGCAAATAAATAAGTGTACCTTATTGGTGCACAACTTTAGTATTTTAAAGCAGTTTTAATTTTTGAGGGCAATGTTTCATAACAATCAAATTGGTACATAACCGGTGTTTGATATCGCTGAATGATTGGGTTAATTGACTTTTTTGTGTCTTTGCATATTCATTATGAATGAATGAAATAAATTTTGTTTTTCCCTTTCTGTTCAGCATACAAGGACCAAAGGAGACAAGAGAAACTGGCAAAGTAAGTAAAACTTTGGGCCTCTCCTTTCGAACTTAATTTCAGAGAGTCTTTAAGTTGTTTTAAAACAATTTTAATCAGTTATGAAAAGCACACAATGCGATAAATAGTTCCCATCTGCCAACTTTTAGCCATGTAGTCAAACCCATTTTCATTTAGGGCCTCATCAACATCATGAATGCCCCTCAAGGACAGGTTGAATGCATCGCTAAAACTACCTACTAAATCTAAAATGGAGGGTTTCCTCCGATGCATTATGAGCCTGGCGGGCTGCCAGGCTTTACTTATCCACCACCAGGCTAAGGGTGATTTATTTCTTTATTATTTTAATACACCAGTATGGGGCAAAATTTCTGTCATAATACGAGAGCACACATTTTTATTTTGAAAGCACGATTTTATGTCTTTTCATCTTGAAAATGTAAACCCAAACTGATTTTAGTTTCTACTCATGTTGTCTTGATGGTTGAACCATTAAGAAGCTGTTAATGTCGTGTTTTCTCCTGTTAGCGGCGCCCAACAGGACCTGCAGGACCAGCAACCACCAGCCACGCCGCCGCCATATCAGCGCTGATTCAGTTCATCTGACCATAAATAAACGTTTGGGAATTAGCTTTCTGCTTGCACAAAGAGGAAAAAGGTGAAATAAAAAGACTGCTAAAATGCAATCATACAGAAGAAAGAGCTACGCCATATGCAATGTTTGCTTGTATAAAATAAATGTTATGATGCTGCAAAAGTTTATGAATAAACTTGCAAGTTTATTTTGATATATTTAAATTATTTGATGCATAGTTTCATTATATGTTGTTTGATTTAAAATGATTTGCAGAAAAGAGAAAATGGATCCTGCATGTGATCAAGAAACTTCATAAACAATTTTATTTATAAGTGAGATAATGTTTGTTTTGTAGAGATACTTCAGTGTAATTTCTGTTAGACATTTAAAAGTGTAAATGTACTGTACAAATATTTTGAAAAAAAAAATCTCATATAGTATAAAAGCATAAAAATCTACCTGAAAGTATAGATAATAAAATCCAGTTCTGAAGTTGCCTCAATATTTACTTCTATGAAATTATAAAAAGATTGAAGCTAAAATGTATAATGTGTATAAAATCAATAGCAGCTTACCAGTTAAACAGTTTTTTTGTGTAAATATCTTAGTGACTTTAAATTAAGAAAACTAACTCCTAAGTAACGTTTCAGCAAGGAATAGAAGCTTGTTTCCAGTTAATACCGATTAAAAATGACTAGATTTAGATTAACTCATAAAAAAGCCATGTATCATTTTTATCCCAGGCATCACTTTGTTCCATCATCAAGTTCAGTTTTGTGGTTTAGATGTGACACTTTTCTGCAGGTTTGATGTGATCGTTCTCATGTTTGTCGTTTCTGATCCAAGGCGATAAGAAGCCTTGGTCTTCCTCGTTGGGATCTTGTACGACCACTTTCTCAATGTTTGGTGAACGACTGAAACACTGAACGGTTGCAAAAGCAGTAAATGCAACATAAATGCACAACAGGCAAGCATTTAAGGCAAACAAATTCACGTCAGATTCAGATCTGCTTGGGTTTTGAGACAAACTCTGACGCTTTCTCAACCTGCCGACAGGTAATTATGTGGTTTATGGGTTTTTATTGGGTTTAAATGTTTACATTTGTGCTTTGTTTTGCAGGATGAAGTGTGTTATGATCTTTCTCGTGCTTTCTCTGGTCGTCCTGATGGCCGAACCTGGAGAGGGATTTCTAAGGTCTATTTGGCGAGCCGGCAAGTCCATGTTTAAAGGAGCCAGACGAGGTTTCAGAGGTTTGCCACAAAATGTTAATTACTTAAAAAAAGTTAACAGAATTGAGACGGATCTCGTTTTAATTTATCTCCAGAGTTTGCAACTCTGAGTAACTTTCTTCCCTTCCCTGCTTTTAGACTATAGACAACAGCGAAGACTGGAGAAAGTAGAAAGGTAAGCTTTTCTCATCCCCGTCAACAAGAATTCGTTCCAAATTACTGTTAATTCTGATTTATTTGAGTTCAAAGTTCATGTAGCTCTCAAAAAACAAAACCCTATTTCTGAAAAAGAGTTCATACGCAAAAAAATTAATCTGCCCTTCGGCCACAACGATCCCACGATGGCGAATTAGAGCCACTGCAGAGAGAGAGAAAAGAAGAGAACATTTCCACCAAAACACAAAGAGTTTTAAATTATTTTTTTAAAAATTATATAAAAAAAAGTGGAGTGTCTTATTTAAAAATTTGCTGCCAAACACAGAAATTTTGAGATCAATCTCAGACATTTTCTAGAGAAAACTTGGAAAGTTCAAAATGTTGAAACTTTACCAGAAAAACTCAAAGTTTGAGCTTAATCTCCAAAATTGTATTGAAAAAAACCCTAGAAATTTCTAAGGTTTGAAAGTTGACATTCTTTAACTTTTGAAAAACGTAGAAAAATATCAAAGTTTTTTTCTTGCAGATTATCAATTTTTAGAGCTCAGAAATTTATTCTTTTTTTTTTTTTTTTGAGAAAAATTCTGGGATAAACCTAAACATTTCTGAGTTTATGGTGGAAATTTCTTTCTTTTTTTTACTGTAATAAACCGTTGCATATTTCTATACACATAAAACAAAATTTATGATAACATATACTTATTTCAAATTTAATGTCAAATGATCAGATTTTAGCTTTTTGACATTAAAACACTGATTGTTGTAATAAATTAAATTTTAGGATCTAATATTTAGTTTCTTCTTCCTCTAGATACAGGCAGAAATATGAAAATGAGAACCAGCCAGAAGACGAACCCGAACGCCGTCGCTCCACCTGAAGATTCACCGAACGTCAGAAAACGACTTTTGGATCTCAAGATGCAGCATTTAGCTTTTCCGCTTTTACTTTAATAAAGGAAAATAAAGAGCGAATAGACAAACATGTCAAAAACCTGTTAGATTTTCTGCTAAGCAAACTTTCTTTGATTAAACTTTTAATTCAGATAATCAGCTGTGTGTTTGTTCAGACTTACATATATTTACAAACACATCAGTTATGACTTACATATATTTACAAAAACATCAGTTATGATGCATAACTGAGATCTTCCTGTTTGGGATTCACATCTAATTCATGTGCAAACACAAATCTTATAGATTTCAAATATAGATGTGAATTTTGTTGAAACACATTCACAAAATCATTGCCTCGAACGTTACAATGGCAAATAAATAAATTTCTTATTTCAATGAAAGTGACATACTGCAGATTCACCCAATCAGGTCACAACATCAACAGTATTTTATTGAACAAATTACAATTAACTGTTAATTTATATAAGCAGGTTGCACAATAATCCACTTCTAAAGTTGAAAGTTGGACAACATCATATGACGAAGCAAAACCTGAATCACAGAACAATGATTGCAAAAGGTAAAAATGCAACAGTAAGATTGAGAAACTTCAGTCCAGCCCAGAGGACAGCTACGTTTATAACGAGACAAAATGTGACAGATCCACACAGTTCACTTCCCTTCTAATCCAGAACCTCTCCCATCGTTCGGGCCTGCTGACAGGTAAAATAGATTTATTTATATGTTATTAGTTTGGTTGAAGCATGACAGGTTTTAGTTTTGCAGGATGAAGTTCGTTACTCTCTTCCTCGTTCTGTCTCTGGTGGTGCTGATGGCCGAACCGGGGGAATGTTTCCTACAGTCGCTTTGGGGAGGAATAAAAGCTGCGTTCAAAGGCGCCAGGGACAGTTGGAGAGGTAAAAAAAAACAGTTCATGATTTAAATAACAAATAATCAGTTTAACTACAACTATATGGTATTCACACAAATTTAAACCGAATGTGTTTTAAAAACAGAAATAAAATTATTTCTGTTGCTGCTAAAAATACACCAATAATAATCCATCTAGAGTTTATAGATTTTTGTGAACTTGAACAAATTTCAGTAAAAAAAAAAAAAAAGTGATTGGTAGCATATCTGCTTTTTGACAGATCAATAAAGTTTATTTGTGCAGCAAAGAGCTTTACATAAACAACCAGTTCTTGTGACAAACATCAAAATCGTCAATCCACATCAGATATGCTGATCAATTTTCCAGAATTTAGGAGTCAAATCAACTCTGGGTTTTTAGTCTAGATCTAAATGAACTCAGTGTTTCAGCTGTTCTGCAGTTTTCTGGAAGTTTGTTCCAGATTTGTGGCACATAGAAGCTGCTTCTCCATATTTTGATCGGTTCTTTATATTTTACGTTGTTCAGGCGATAGAAGGCCGACTTTGTAACCATCTTTATGTGACTAAAGGTTGGGTTCTTGAGTTATAAGTGAAATAATCTACCAGTGAAACTAGAACTGTATCAATATTAAGTAATTATTGAGCTGAATATTAAGCCTACAGATTCTCAGTAAGCTGAGAAGTTACTTGTAAGTTAGTTTTGTCTTATTTCAAGTCTACTAAGATATTTGACAAATGTATTTGGTAATATTTTGTTTTTACAGTGCAGTTTGAAAACATAACTATTTAGCAGCCACCAACTGCAATCATGTATTCTACAGGATTATGTTTTTTATTTCTGAACAGATTTATATGTTGTGCTAATCTTTTGTCTCTGTGTTTAGACTACAGACACCAGCGCAGATTGGAAAAGGTAGCAAGGTAAGGAATTAGCAGCGCATGTTAATTCCAATCTGAGTCCTAAAAGGTTTTTGGGCCTTTAAGCTTCATTTGATGTGATGCATTTCGCTTCAACGAAACCGTAAAACCACGTGTTTTTAGTTTTAGTTTTATTCTGCTGACATTTTTGCAATTACCTCCGACTCAATTTTCATCCACTTTTCTATCTAGATACCAGACGGAAATGGAGAATCAGCAGAATCAAGCGCAGACAGATCCACCACCAAATTAGTAGCAGGATTAACATGGATGACCTGAAGATATGATGAAACGATTCGACGCTAGTCTTGCTGAGTGCGGGATTTCTAAGCTCATAATAATTTACCTTTATGTTTTTGCTTGAGCCTAAAATAATTAGAAACAAAGAAAATTAGTTGTATTTCAAGTGCTATAATCTTAAAGGATCTAGTTGTCTTTTTTAAACTCAAATTATAGAATGAAGTAATGGTAACTTTCTGTGAATAAAGCATAAAAGTAAACTTTCTCTTGTTTATTTACTTTCTTATGCTTGATGTTCATTTGACTTTTTAAAACGTTTCAAATATTTCATCTTTTTCATATTTCATCTTATGCCATAATATTTATGTAACTATGTAACCTTCAGATGTTATAAAAATGGTGTATAAATCAACTATGACTTAAAAGAAATTTAAAACCTCCAGCTCTCTTTGAAAATCATCAAAACATGGTTCCTCTATTAACCCTTTAATGTCTTTATCCGCATTGCGCTGAGAAGCAGCTCCTTTAATGAGCTCAGCTGATTCTCAGTTCCACCAGGTGTTTGCTAATTGCTGCTGGCTAGTCTAAAGGATTAGTTGAAGTAAAGCTAGGAGGAACCGTCCAGCTGTGCGGCCGTCACTGTACTGGAGCAAAAGTTGAATGATTTGCCCTTCCTGTCTCAGGTTCCAGCGCAAACAGGCTTTGGAAAGCGCAACAAGTAGCTCTGCGTTTTGCTATTTCAGCTTCTCAAGAGACATTTTCCGAAAAAACACAAGAACAAAAACTGGGAATAGGTGAATTTTTCCTGAATGTTTTCAGTTACGCTCCACAGATAAATCCACCGAACTGTGAAACGACAGATCTGCTGTGGGTGCCCTTTCCTTTCTTACGGTTGTCTTCAGAAAGTCACAAATTCAGAGAATCTGATGCAACAGATCAACTTCTTCACACTGGACTAAAAACCAAACTGAGTTGATTTTGAACCATAAATGAAACATGGACCAACTTATTGGTTGTCTATTGATGATTTCAATAATTTTACTCGACAAAATGTTTGTTGGTTTCACAATTGGCGACTGTTTTATAACTTTTTACAAAAGTTATAAAACTTTCATAACTTCTTGTGGTTTTTATGTGGCATTTTGAACTGCCTTGCTGCTGGAATGTGATTCAGAAATAACTTTGCTACCCAAATTGGCTCCAGTTAACTTCTTTAAATAAATGCTACAAGCTACAAATGGATTAATATGATGCCTAATTTTAGTAGCAGTAGAAATAATTGCAATTCTTTTTTTAAATAAACACATTGTTGGTTTCAATATGTGTGTAAGTAGTATAATGTTGTTGCTAAGCAGATTAATTCTTTACTTGTACTCCATTGCAGAGTTTAACAAAGAGCCCAAATATTTTTATGTTTTGCCAGAAATAAAATCATTTGTCTTTTTTTTCTGTCAGATCTGTTTTGATCAGATCAGCTTTTCAAAACGTTTTTAATTGATAATTATCCATTTAATAGCTTTGAAAATTCACAAAATAACGTGTTTTTCAATTTGTGCAGAAATGTGTTTGAAAAGTTAAGACTCTACATGGGCATTATGGGAAAACACATGTCGTGTTTCTCTTTGTTTTATCTTCTCAGGCCACAAGTTAGAACATGTTCGTGTCAAAAGAGCGAAGAGGAAGCTTTTATTTAACACCATCTCAAAAGCAACTTTACACGCCAAGTTGGTAAACATGTAGCGCATAAAACATGCCAATTCTGCCCAACCCATTAAAACAGGCATCTATAAAACGACATTCGTCTCTGCAAAGTCGTTCAGTTTTCACAGAATCATTCAGCAGGTAAATATTGATGTCTTTTCTCCTTACTTCTACACTACATGTTTGATATTTATTGTTTTTGCAGGATGAGGTGTGTTACTATCTTCCTCATCCTCTCTCTGGTCGTCCTCATGGCCGAACCTGGAGATTGTTTCTGGAAGTCTTTATGGAGAGGAGCCAAGGCCATATTTCACGGCGTTCGAGGTAAATTAAAAACGCTTTGTGAATTTTCTATCGTTGAGTATTTAAACTCTTTCCACTGCTGACAACCGGAGACTACTCAGAAGTTTTCTCAATATTTTTATTGCCCGTCTATTTTCTCTTCATGAACAATCTTTAAATAAATTTAAATCTTAAATATTTAATAATCGCTCCTGTTTTTCTTAGCGGGATTCAGAAATCGACACAAAGAGGAGAAAATGGCAAAGTAAGTTCTTCACATCACTAAATATAGAATAAAATTATATATTTAGGGTTAAATTAATAAATTAAATGGAAAAAAATTAAAAAGTGAGGCTTTGTGTCTCATCTAAAGTTTTCTTTCCTCCTTCAGCAACGGGGAAGAGAGGCCTCAACTCCAGGAGAAACGCTGAATCTCTTCTGCTGCCAAAATGAAAAACTCCTGCTGCAGCTTTCTGCTCGGTCGGTGAAGACAGTTAAAAACTCGCCAATATATCAGCCAATAACAAGATTAATCGATTAGCTTGAAGCACGCCCTGCAGCAACAATTTTCTGCACAATTCAAGTTATTTTCAAATAAAGCTAAATGTGCCTTTATGCAAACATTTATGAATAAACTTGCAAAACAATAAATGTCTGCTTGTTGGTTTTATTTTACTGAGTAAAACTAAACCAGTTGTTTTTATAACAAGACAAAGAAATTAGTTTTTTGTGTCCTCTCCTTAAAAAACTAAAAAAAAATTTAAAGATCTTTTTATCTGTTTTTTAAAATTCACAGATAAAAACTACGGATGAGAAAACTGATAAAATAAATGTGAGTAACTGTTATAAAAGACACAAACTGTGACAAGATGTTAATGGAATTGTTTTTAACACTATTCTGAATGCTTTTTTAACTCCATTTTGGAAACACTTAGAAAAATACCCATAGAAAACATTAAGCTATTACAGCATGAACAATCTGGTAGAGGGCCACCTACTGGTGAAGTGGAATAATTCATAGATGAGTTTTGAAATTCACACTGAAGCTGCATAAAAAAGAAAAAACCCAAAAAATGTGCAT